ATGAACAATATATATGGGAGCTATAGCTATATCTGAACCGATTTCCATCAAATTTGGCATACTTATTTTCAGGCCTAATTTGGCTGTATGTGCAAAATTCCATACTATTCGGGCCGATATTACACGTTTGGTGGACAATAAATCGGCAAATCGGACGAAGATATATATGGGAGCTATATCTAAATTTTGACCGATTATCTCCAATTTCTATAGGGTTTGTCCTTGGGCCAAGCAAATGATTTGTGCAAAATTTCATCTGGATAGGGCAATAAATGCGAACTGTACTTTGTTTACAAAAATACATGGACGGACGGACAGACGGACGAACGGACGGACATGCAGAAATCGACTCAGAATGTGATTCTATGCAGATCATCAAAAGGAACTATGGTTCTATCTCGTTTCCTTTTTGCCTGTTACAAACAAATGCACAAAGACATAATACCCTGACCAGCTTGTGGTGTAGGGTATAAAAATCAGGTTTTGCTCCAACTGTGCAAATCGTAATATTTGTATCGGTGCTAGGTCAGGTGTGAAAATGGACAATATAGGTCCACTCCATCAAGTATCTCCCCCACAAAGGGTCAACATTTGGAATAAATATAACTTTCATAAAATGTGATGTAGGGGTCCGATTGTATTCAAGTTACTCACATCACAATATTTTTATTATTATTAGTGATGTGAAGATGGACTGTGTCGGACCACTTCTTCTGGTACCTCCCCTACAAAGGGTCAACAGTTCGAATATCCCTGCAGTCCATAAAACGAGAAATTGATATCCGATTCCATTCAGACTTGATACATCTCAATTTTTCCATCAACAAAATATCTGTTATAGAGTTGGTGGAGATCGGACCATGCCTTCTCGTACCTCCCCCACAAAGGGTCAAAGTTGTGAATAACCAAAACGATCATAAAATCCGAAATACGCATCCGGTTCTCTTCATATTTTACACATCCCATAATTTCTTCTAGCATAAGATCTGCTGTGAAGATAGATTATCTCGGACCACTTCTTTTGGTACCTCTCCCACAAGGGATCAAAAATTTGAGTATCCCTGCAGTCCATAAAACGAGAAATTAATATCCGATTTCATTCAGACTTGATACATCTCAATTTTTCCATCAACACAAGATCTGTTATAGAGTTGGTGGAGATCGGACCATGCCTTCTGGTACCTCCCCCACAAAGGGTCAAAGTTGTGAATAACCAAAACGATCATTAAATCCGAAATAAGCATCTGGTTCTCTTCATATTTCACACATCCCATAATTTCTAATGGCACCAGATCTGCTGTGAAGATGGACTATATCGGTCCACTCCTTCTGGTAAAGGCTCAAAATTTTGAATATCCATGAAGCTCAGAAAACGTGAAATTAACATTCGATTCCATTCAGACTTGGAAAATCTCAATATTTCCATCAACACTAGATCTGTTATAAAGATGGTGGAGATCGGACAATTTTTTTCTCGTACCTCCCCCACATGGGGTTCAAATTTTTGAACAACAGAACGCTCAAAGAAAGCGAAATAAGCAGCCAACTCTCTTCAAATTTCCCATTCTTTCTAAACATTTTAAGGACATTATTCACAGGAGTTGTTTCAAATTTCGTTTTCAAAATTCGTAACGGGTCCTAAAACCTATGACAAAAATTTGCGTATGCAGACCCACGTCTTTGTATAGCCTCCATGTAAAAGTACCTCCCAATATTCGATGTTTTGATGATTTTAGCGACATTATTCACCGAAATTGTTTGAAATTTCGTAATAAAAGTTCGAAACTGGTACTACAGCCTGTGACGGAAAATTATCTATGCAGGGTTAGGTCTTCGTATAGCCCCGATATATCAGTACCTCCCTACATCCGGAATTTTGACGATTTTAGGTGGAATATTAACCGAAATTGTTTGAAATTTCGTATTTGAATTTCATAATAGATACTACAGCCTGTAGCAGAAAATTGTCTATGCAGGGTCAGATCTTCGTATAGCCCCGATATATCAGTACGTCCCTATAATCGGTATTTTGACGATTTTAGGTGGAATATTCACCGAAATTGTTTGAAATTTTGTATTTGAAGTTCCTGATAGGTATTACAGCCTATGATAGAAAATTGTCTATGCAGGTCCAGGTCTTCGTATAGCCCCATCATAACGGTACCCCTCTCTATTCGGTATTTTTCGGTATTTTTTAGCTAAATTTTTCACCGGATTTTTTTAAATTTCGTATTTGAATATTGTAATGGCTTATGACAAAAGTTGCCTTTGCAGGTCCATGTCTTCGTATAGACCCCAATATAACGGCTATTTTCTGTATTTTTAAGATTTTTCCAGAATTTTTAATGGATTTTATTTTTTTGAATTTTTTTCCATGTGTTGGAGGGTATTCAAAGTTCGGCCCGACCGAACTTACTGCTTTTTATACCCTACACCACAAGGTGGTCAGGGTATTATGTCTTTGTGCATTTGTTTGTAACAGGCAAAAGGAAACGAGATATACCCATAGTTCCTTTTGATGATCTGCATAGAATCACATTCTGAGTTGATTTATGAATGTCCGTCTGTCCAGTACAGTTCGCATTTATTGCCCGATCCAGATGAAATTTTGCACAAATCATTTGTTTGGCCCAAGGACGAACCCTATTGAAATTCGAGATAATCGGTCAAAATTTAGATATAGCTCCCAAATATATCTTCGTCCGATTTGCTTTTTATTGTGCACCAAACGTGTAATATCAGCCAGAATTGTATGGAATTTTGCATATACACCCAAATTAGGCCTGAAAATAAGTATGCCAAATTTGATCGAAATCGGTTCAGATATAGCTATAGCTCCCATATATATTGTTCATCCGATTTGTTATTTTTGGTCCTCCGCAGCCGTAATATTCACTATGCAACAACAATATTTGGGGAAATATATCAAATACAGCTCAGAAATACATTTGCTAAATTTTATCGAGATCGGTTCAGATTTAGCAGATAGCTCCCATATATAACTTCGTCCGATTTACCTTTTATTGTGCACCAAACGTCTAATATTTGTCCAAATGGGATGGAATTTGGCACCTAGGATCGAATTTAGTCTAGAAGGTAGTATGTCAAATTTGGTGAAGATCGGTTCAGATATAGATATATAGCTTCCATATATATTATTCATCCGATTTGTTATATTTGTTACCCACAGCCGTAATACCCACACTCCGTATCAACGATATTCAGGGAAATATATCAAATACAGCTCAGAAATATTTTTGCTAAATTTTATCCAGATCGGTTCAGATTTGGATATAGCTTCCATATATATCTTTATCCGATTTCAAATTAATTGTCCACCAAATGGGCAATACAATTCCGATTTTAAAAGATACAAATGCTTCGGCATACTTAGTCCTTCGAAACTTTAAATTACGATTATAATCATAGCGTGTATGATTGAATTCTCCCATAAAAACTTTTAATTGTTATGTGGAGCTCTACTAAATTAGCCAAGTGGTGTAGGGTATCACAAAGCCCGGCTCCGCCCGACTTTAAGACTTTTTTTACTGGTTAAGATTGTAACAGAATTTTTAACGGATTTTAGTTTTTTTTTGAAAATTTCCAATTTTTTTTCCAAATGGTGGAGGGTATTCAAAGTTCTGCCCGGCCGAACTTACTGCTTTTTTATACCCTCCACCATACTATGGAGGGTATATTAACTTTGTCATTCCGTTTGTAACTCCTCGAAATACTCATATCAGACCCAACAAAGTATATATATTCTTGATCAGCGTAAAATTCTAAGACGATTTAGCCATGTCCGTCTGTCTGTCTGTCCGTCTGTCTGTCCGTCTGTCTGTCTGTCTGTCTGTTGTAATCACGCTATCTTTCGAATGAATTGAGATAGGTGGCTAAAATTTTGCACACATGTTTATTTTTCCAGTAGGCAGGTTAAGTTCGTAAATGGGCCATGTAGGTCCACGTTTTCATATAGCCCCCATATAACGGTACCTCCCTATATTCGGTATTTTGATGATTTTAGCGACATTATTCACGGGAATTGTTTCAAATTTGGTATTTGAAGTTCAAAATGGATACTACACCCTAAGACGGAAAATTATCCGTGCAGGTCCACGTCTTCGTATAGCCCCCATATAACGGTACCTCCCGATATTCGGTATTTTGATGATTTTAGCGACATTATTTGCCAGAATTGTTTCAAATTTGGTATTTGAAATTCAAAATGGATACTACACCCTAAGATAGAAAATTGTCCGTGCAAGTCCACGTCTTCATATAGCCCCCATATAACGGTACCTCCCTATATTCGGTATTTTGATGATTTTAGCGACACTATTCACCGGAATTGTTTTAAAATTGGTATTTGAAGTTCGTTATGGGAACTACAGTCTGTGACAGAAAATTGTCTGTGCGGGTCCAGGTCTTCGTATAGCCCCCATATAACGGTACCTCCCTATATTCGGTATTTTGATGATTTTAGCGACACTATTCACCGGAATTGTTTTAAAATTGGTATTTGAAGTTCGTTATGGGAACTACAGTCTGTGACAGAAAATTGTCTGTGCGGGTCCAGGTCTTCGTATAGCCCCCATATAACGGTACCTCCCTATATTCGGTATTTTGATGATTTTAGCTACATTATCCACCGTTTATTTCAAGTTTCGAATTTGAATATGGTAATGGCTTATGACAAACAATGCCTATGTATGTCCACGTCGTATAGACCCCAAAATAACGGCTATATTCGGTATTTTTAAAATTTTAACAGAATTTTTTAAGGATTTTATTTTTTGAAAATTTCCAAATTCGTTGCAAGTGGTGGAGGGTATTAAAAGTTCGGCCCGGCCGAACTTACTGCTTTTTAACTTGTTACTTGTTAATATAGATATTACATAGGAGCACTCCCCTGCAGCTCCGCCTTATAAACGATTCGAATATTTTATATATTTGATCCTAAAATTGTAAGTAAATGGTGGATATTTGTATATTCAACTTACCTCTTTCCAAAATGTATCCTTTTGCCATTGATCAGAAAAAAAATACGATTTCTCTTCCTTTTATTTTTGTTTTCGAAATTTCAGGCCAAGAATGATAATTTCCACAGTTGTTCTTGTTTAATTTCGCTGTAAATAAAAAAAAAAACAAAAAAAAAAAACTCACTGTGAGAATTGAAACCGGAACAAAAATAATCATATCGACTTATTTATAAACAAAAAAAATTAAAAAAAAAAAAAAAAAAAAAACAGCAACAAAAATAACTTAAAGACGGGTGGGTATTTTTGAAACGAAAAAAAAAACAAAAATAACAATAACTGAAGAACCAGAAAAAAACGCGCCAAAATAATCTTAAGCAATCAAAACTGCAGGCAGGTCGTTTCAGGGTATCCCCTTCCCTCCCCCTCCCCCCTCAACCACATATCACCTTCACAAATGAAAAACATTCCATTCATATTTTGCATTTCAAATGAAATCAATGGAAATATTAATTTGAAATAATTTCAATAATCGACTGCTAATGACAATCGGTTTTGAATGCTCGAGTCTTTGATGGCTGATGGCTGGTGGGATGAATGACCAACTAACCATCTCCCCACAGCGTTACAGTTCTTATTTGTTGTAAACAACAAAAACAACAACAACAAGAAATTTAAAATTGATATTTATTTTGAGGGAGAATTCTGTTGCATAATTTATTTTACTGTTGTTGTTGTGGTTTTGCCCATTTTGTTTTTGTTTCGCGATGGTTGTTATTTTTAATTTTGCATTATCTTGTTGTTGTTACTTTTTTTTCTTTGGGTTGCCAAAAATAGCCTTTTGCTTGAGCGTTAAGCATGCCTCGAAGTAATTATCCGAATGTGTTTGTCGTTATCATCGTCATCATCGGAATCAGCATCACCCTCTTCCCATGGTGATAATTTGAATTATTTGTTGTTGTGTAAAAGAAATTTAAAAAAGGAACAACAAAAACAATTTTCAGAAATGTTAATAACCGACAGCTTTTTGCATAGCCTTAAATGCTACCTTCTAGAGGGGTTCCATAGATACAGGAGCTAATGAGAGCTTTTAGTACACACAGAGCACCTCTAAAGCTCTTCGAGGTAGAAGATCCTCAATCGATTTTTTAAGCGTCTTTAATTCGTGTAGGACTCTGTGGCAGGCTTAAGCAAAAATATAATTTTCTGTAGGTCTTCTGCAGACAAAAGAACACGTAAATGTATTCGAAAGATTCGAAAACTTAGGTTATCCATAAACCCAAAATAGGGTCTTATAAAGTTAGAAAAAAATTCTTCTAAAGATGTCCTACAGATAAAATACCTTCTCGCCATAGGAGGCGTATTTTAGTCAGCCATAAACAAAAGATAGAAAAAAACCTCCTAGAGGTGTTCTGCCGATAGAAGACAATTTTGTTAAAATATTTTAAATATTTTTAATAAGTCCAAAACTCTTGAAAAAACGTTTTTAAAAAAATCCACCCTTGCCGAATGTCTTAATATAAATATTTTAAAAAAGCCCACGCTTATTAGAAGATTTTAAAAATATTTATAAAAAAAAATCCAAAAATCTTGAAAATATATTTTTAAATTTTTTAAACAATTCTAGGCTTATTAATGGTCTTGGAAAACATTTTTTCTAAAATCCACACTTATTAAAGAGGTTATCCATAAGCACAAGAAGATGGTCTTCTAAAGATAGAAAAAATTCTTCTAAAGAGGTCTTACAGATAAAAGACCTTCTGCAGGCTCGCCATAGGAGGCGTGTTTAAGTCACCCATAAACAAAAGAAGAAAGTCTACTATGGATAGAAAAAAAAAACCTACAGATAGAAGACCTTCTGCAGGTTCACCATAGTCGGAAGACTTTCAAGAAGCATTCCAAAAAAATAGATTTAAGAAATCCAAGCTTGAAATTATTTTAAAAATACACGGAAAAGTTTTCAAAAAGTGCCTACTGCTAACAATTTTGTTAAAAATATTTTTGAAATATTTTAAATATTTTTAATATGTCCACGCTAGGCAAAACTCTTGAAAAAAAAACGTTTTTAAAAAATCCACCCTTACCGAATGTCTTAATATAAATATTTAAAAAAAACACGCTTATTAGAGGATTTTAAATATATTTTAAAAAAATCCAAAAATCTTCAAAATCTTGAAAATATATCTTTAAAATAATCACGTTTATTAGAGGATTTTAAAAATATTTATAAAAAAATCCAAAAATCTTGAAAATTTATTTTTAAAAAATCCATGCTTATTAGAGTTTTTTAAAAATATTTTTAAAAAATCCAAAAATCTTGAAAATATATTTTTAAATTTTTAAAAAAAAATCTAGGCTTATTAATGATCTTGGAAAACATTTTTTCTAAAATCCACACTTATTAAAAATTTAGCTTTTTTTAAATCCATGCTTATAAAAATTATTGAAAAAATATTTTTCAAAAATCCATGCTTATTAAAGGTCTTGAAAAAGTATTTTTCAAAAAACCATGCTTATGGAAGGTCTTGAAAAAATATTTTAAAAAGGTCCACGCTTAACGGAAGTCTTTTGAAAAAAATATTTTTAAACAAATCCACGCTTATCAAAAGTCTTCAAAAATATTTTTTTAAAACCCACGCTTGCCGAAAATCTTTTGAAAAAATCTTTTTTCAAACCTCACCTTTGCCGAAAGTCTCTTGAAAATTTTTTTTTTTAAATTCCACGCTCTCCGAAAGTCTTGAAAAATATTTTTAAAAAATCCACGCACTCCAAAAGTCTGAAAATATTTTTTTTAAAAATTCCAAAATATTTTTAAAAAATCCAAGCTTAAATTATTTTTTTCAAAAAATCCACGCTCTCCGAAAGTCTTGAAAAATATCCACGATTTTCGAAAGTCTTAATTTTTTTTAAAGCCACGCTTATCATAGGTCTTCAAAAATATTTTTTTAAAAATCCTTGCTTATCATAGGTCTTCAAAAATATTTTTTTAAAAAATCCCCGCTCTCCGAAATTCTCGAATAATATTTTTTTAAAAAATCCACGCACTCCAAACGTCTGAAAATATTTTTTTAAAAAATCCACGATTTTCGAAAGTCTTATTTTTTTTTAAATCCACGCTTATCTTAGGTCTTCAAAAATATATTTTTTAAAAAATCCACGCTCTCCAAAAGTCTGAAAATATTTTTTTAAAAATTCCACGCTCTCCAAAGTCTTGAAAAAATATTTTAAAAAATTCACCCTTATAAAAGGTCTTCAACAATATTTTTTTTTAAAAATCCGCGCTCTCCAAAAGTCTTGAAAAAATATTTTTAAATAATCCATGCTTATTAATGGTCTTAAAAAATATTTTTAAGAACTCCACGTCTTCCAAAAGTCTTGAAAATTATTTCTAAAAATCGACACTTCAAATATTTGCAGAAGACCCTCAAGGACACTCCTATAGACAGAAGACCTCAGAAACCCCATTAGAGTAATTATGCAGATCGAATACATTTTCCAGGTCTTCTGAGAATAAAATGTCCTTTTGAGCTTTTCTAGCTTTTCTTTTCTGTCCTTTTGAGCTTTTCTAAAGACAGACCTTCAAAGTTAGATGAACTTTTCTGGGTATTTTATTAATAAAAAAATGCCTTGAAATCTTCGGTAGACATCAGAGAAGACCACCTTAGGGTTCTTTGTGAAAAGAAGGCCTCCTATTGGTCTTCCATAAACAGACGCTTTTTAAGGCTCCTCTATAAATGTAATCATAAAGCCTTCTTGACATTCTTCAGATACGAAACCCTGACATTCTCTAGTTTGAAAACCTTATGGAGGTCTCCAAAAAATAGATAAATTGATTTTGCAGATGTAATATATTCTCTTTCACAAATAACAGAACCTCTGCAGGTATTCTTCGGACAGAAGATATTTTAGAGACAAGAGATAGAAAACATTCTAGAGGGCTTCCATAGACAGAGCCATACCAAAACTCCCTAAATTCGATTTCCTTTTTTTTTTTTGAAAATTGCCAAATTTGTTGCGAATGCTGTAGGGCATTTAATGTTCGGCCCGTCTTATGGCTTTTTTACTTGTTTTTAATATATTGAAGGAGGGTATGGAGGTAAATGGAGGGTATGAAAATAAGTTAACATCCACGATTATTGCTACTAAAATTTAAAATATATATTCCCATTATTGTATGGAGTTTCGCAAAATCAAAATAAGAACCACCCTTCAAACGGTCCGACCGATCTGTTGATGGAAATATTGAGATTCATCAAGTCTGAATAGAATCGAGTGTAAATTTCGCGTTTTATGAGTTTCATGGATATTGCAGATGTTGACTGTTTTGTGGGGAGGTACCAGAAGGAGTGGACCGATATTACCCATCTTTGAACTCGATCTAAGTTTGATAATAATATTACGATATAACCAGTTTGGATCAAATCGGATGCTCTCGACGAGCCAGACAAACGGAAGGACCTCGCTACATCGACTCCAAATGTCCTGAAACGAATTTGGTCCAGAGAGACCTAGGCTTTAAAACCGTTATTTCAATGAGGCACATTTTGGCCGTTTAAAAATGTATGGAAATTCGAAAAAATTGTTAATTATAAATTAATAACATCCATAATTATTTCTCCCTAAAAAAGGTCCTCGATTTTAATTACTAAAAAATATTTTTGGTTTTTGTTATTGTTAAAGATTTTTAAATCCATGCTTATAAAAATTATTGAAAAAATATTTTACAAAAATCCATGCTTATTAAAGATTTTGCTTTTTTAAATCCAAAATATTTTTAAACAAATCCACCCTTATCAAAGGTCTTCAAAAATATTTTTAAACAAATCCACCCTTATCGAAGGTCTTCAAAAATTTTTTTTTAAAACCTACGTTTGCCGAACGTATTTTAAAAAAATATTTTTTTAAAACCCACGTTTGCCGAAAGGCTTTTGAAAAAATATTTTTTTAAAACCCACGTTTGCCGAAAGACTTTTGAAAAAATATTTTTTTTAAAAACCTACGTTTGCCGAAAGTCTTATCAAAGGTCTTGAAAAATATTTTTCAAAAATCCATGCTTATTAAAGTTTTGTAAAATATTGTTAAGAAATCCACGCTTTCCGAAAGTCTTGGAAAATTTATTTTGTACAAAATCCACGCTCTCCAAAAGTCTT